TCATCGGACCGGAAGTAGGGGAGGCGCTGGAGCTTTACCACGTAGTCGCGGACATGTATGATCACCGGGTAGGTCATGGAGCGCATAAAGGGTGACCTCGTAATCATAGAATGTGGTAAGCGAAACTCGCGAAGTACAAGCGCTAGCGATGAAATTATAACGATTAGGTAGTCAACGTGGGCCAAAGGACCAAGACAGCATAAAATATTTAACAAAATTATATGACAAATGACCAGTGGCCATACCACGAGGCGAACTGTGAAACAAGAGCGAGCAAACACGACGCGGGGCATCGAACGCCCATTGTAATAAATTTTATGTTAATTAATGTACACGCGAAGTTTCATTTTCCAGAAGGATCCTTTATTAACAATAATAATGTATGGCTTAATAAATTAAAGTTAAGGATAAAGGAACATGGAATGCTGCGTAGAATATTTATTCGAATGTACACATAGCGAATCAATAAATCGAACAAAGGGGCTTTTGTTCATGGAACACCTGTCCAACGAGACAAAAAGCCAGGAACGCGGAAGTCAAACAGCATCACATCTGGGAAGCAGGTGTAAGCCACATCTGGGCCCCAGATGTCCCAAAAGCAGGCGGAGCCATACCAAAGTAGGGATGCAACCGGAGGTCTGGAGCCGGAGCAGAACCCCGAGATCGAAAAATTCTTCGTCGGAGCCTCGGAGAGAACAGTCGATTCGGTCTGATAAACCTTGCGATAGAAACTTAGACTCTCGGCGTTGAACATCCCGCGGTAGTCGCGTTACCACTTTGAAACTTTGTCACGAACACTTGTATCTGAAAATAGAATAAAATAGATTATATTTTATTATCTCAAAGAAATCAGAGTACTTAAAATCATTCGTGTGCAATCCACTTACCTGAAAGTTATACCTACCTGATCCTGATACTTACCTGTCGGCGATCCGATATCCGTGCGGGGAGATCCAAAGGCGTTCCAGCGAAGGTCCAGGGCGAAGTCGGCGGTGCACAGCTGCAGTCCAGAGAAGGTCCGAGGTGCTTGGTCCAGCGGCGATCCTAGATCCGGCGGCAAAGGGCGAACTGAAACAGAAAAAAGGAAAGAGGAATCAGCGGGGCGTAATGAAGGTTGAGAAATTCATAATATCCGAAATAATCCTTTCTCGGTTTGTTGGGTAAAAATCGAGTGGCGACCGTGTCGGAGACACACCTTTTAAACATAAGGGGGGTATCACTCCTCGGCCCGGCTACAACCTAACCTTGAAATCGCAAGGTGAACCTTCCGTTTCATCGTCGGGTTCGGGTCGAAGCGCGCAAGTTTTCCAGAAGCCGACGGACGAATACCCGGCAGACGAGCCGGACCAGGGCATGACGGAGACATCGCGAGCGGCCAGCGTAGCGGCCAATGAGGAAATGAGGGACGCCAGTTTCGAGAGCGTCGAGATCGGGGAGTTGCTACAACAGATTCCCGAAGGGGTAGCCCAAGCAATAGTCGAAGGCGAGGCGAAACAGTCCGCTGGACGCGAGGCGACACCGGAGGACGACGACGAGCCGATGAGCCAATCCCAGGTGGAGAGACGGCCGGACGAGTCGAAGACCCGGGGCAGCCAATCGGGGAGCGCGGAGGCATAGGCCCGTGCGATACTTATCTTTTATATTTTATGTTCTATTTTATATCATTTTAACGTAATAACATATTCGATAACAAAAAATCGCGAAGATAAGTAGCGAGATATAAGTGGCAATTGAGCAAATTAAATTTTGTGAGTTATAATATATTTTTTTTAGTTTTGACGAGCCAAAGAGCGAAAGATTTATGCGATAGAAGGAGAAAGATTTATTTTATTTTATGTTACAGAGCGCATGTATGCATATTAACGATTTTATCACAATACACGTAAAAAACATTGTAAAACACACGAGAACACCGAATTACATATCTACCAATCCTACCGATCCTAAATTACCTTTGAAAAGTCGAGTAAAAATTAGAGTCAATTGATGGGCCAATCAGAGTCCAGAGTTCAATCGGAAATGGATCCCGAGAGGATCACTTTGCTAATATTAACAGCAGTTTTTCTATTATTTTCTATTTTGATTTTATACAGCTTATACGCGATCTATTCGATTACAGCAACGCCATGAAGTTGAAAGAGTACATCGTCGTAACCTTAATAATATTTATTTCAGTCATAATGACATTCCCAGACATTCCTACAATCCTAACCATTTTCATATTATACACACTATACATTTTATTGTTGAGTCTCAAGATCGAGCCACGATTGGTTCCCGAAGAGCCATGAACCCAATTACACATTATTGCATGCATAGCGACGTCTGACCGACGAAAGGACCAATAGGGTTTGAGTAAACGTATTTTAACATTAATTTTGCAGTTTTGAACATTATGAACCACTTCGACACAATGTCGATACGCGAGGACCAATGGGAAGCATCCCGGTCTATTTTATTAAGAATTGCGTTAGTTTCATTAGATTTATTAGTTTTGAGCATTCTCGACACAGCGATAGCCAATAGGAGCGATTCCTGGCAGTTTGATATAATTTTTCACAGTTTCAGAATATTTTATGATTTTGCGAGGCCTACGGCCAATGAGAGCGCGAGGCGCAACTTTTTCAGATAAGCGCGACGAAGCGACCAATAGGAAGCAAGCGTAGCTCCGCGAAGCGAGACAGTGTCGTAAAGCGCGAATTTGCATTGTATAACTTTTATTTTATGTTTTCCCTGTCAAGACAAGTACGATTAATCGTATTTTAAGTAGTATTATTATACTCACCGTTCGGATACTTACCGACCATTTGAACCAGTCCATTGATTGGGCGAGACGATCCCTGCGAAGACCCGGTACCTGAAAGAAAAGGAGAATTAATACAATTGATTCTAGTAGAATAATTACTTACCTGGCATGAAAGGGGAATGTCACCGTGAACACACACGGTCACTCGGAAACGTTCCGAGTGACTTGCCGCGAACTTGCACCACGTGCAAATTGCGACGGCTGGCATTGGTTACCGCATCGCCGAGTCCGAAGCGAGAGCTCTTGTCCGCCGTCCAATCCCGTTTCAGTATCTCAGTCAGAATTGAGCTGAGCCAATGAGATCGGCTCAGCGCACGGGAAGTGATGGATCGCCGAGACTAGGGATCGTGTCGCTCGTCACCAAGCGATACGATCGGCTAATAGAGATTAGCGCGCAAAAAACAGCATGTTCGCGCGTAAATGCGAGGCACCGCGCCTGCGCAAGCATCAAGGAGGGGGAACTCGACCCGTTCCTCCCGGACAGTCGACCGTGACATTTCGAGGCGTCAACACGATATTCGGTTGCGCGCATAAACCCTCGATTTCGGCGTACTTATCCTGTTGCCGTATACGATAGTTACGTGAACAACAACCACGCGATAACGGTAATTAACCGAGATAAGCTCTTAACGACGGTACTTCAGAATTCGTTAACGATCGTTGCAAGTCAGTGCGCGATAGAACTTGTCCGTTCGTGTACGGAGATACTGTAACTTTAAAAATATTAAATTGTTATTTGTTTATAATAAACAAAGACTCATTATTCGCGACCCCAGTGAACATCCTGTCCGAATATCCGTATATTACGTGCGCTAAACCAGGGCGTGGCCGACGGCCTTGAACACGTCCGCGACGTAGAAAACGGCAGCCATTACGCTGAAAGGAAGGACGGAGCACCGCATAGCAACAGGGTTTCTGTATTTATCCAGGAAAATACAGTGGCGACCGTATTTTCAGCCCAAGTAGTAACTGGCTAATATTTCAATTTTACCATCGTCAATCGTTGATCCGGTCACAACCTAACCTTTTTTTTTGTTTCGGAGGAAGAGTTTTAAAAATGCCTCGAGCATTCTACCAGGGGTCGTCCCCCGGGATATGTGGGGCTTGCACCCACTAAAAAACCTCTCCCAAACATACAGCACGCTGGACAATAGTTGTGACACACGGGAGACTTGAGGTATTACTTCACGTGTCACAATAGTCCTCACGCGGAGGCGACAGAAATACGTAAACCGAACACAAAATCACACGATGGATCAAACGGGGATGCCGCCGAACTCGCCGGGATGACGCTCTAGTCGAAAGTCTGACACAAGTGCCAACATTCGACCGCCTCGGAAGGCCCTCATGATAATGGCCGCAGGGCAGTCATATCATTGAGGGCACTCTTCATTGGCTGCGAGGCCATTCCATAGGGAACCACAGACGTCCCAAAGAAGGACGTACAAGGCCACGGGACATGTATGTACGAAACGAACGGGAACCCCTCTATCCGGAGAGAGGTTCCATACAAATCAAAACCACGAGTTAAACTCGTTAACATTGAGGGTTACATATATATACCCACCACCGAAAGACAATCGGACCCAAGGTCCGCATCACGGGCCGGAATGAACGGCTGTATTAACGATCGCGCCCACCCCACCCCCAGGCCCCCCAGAAGGGGGGGAGAGGGGGGAGAAAGAGCGCGAAAAGAGTAAGGTCCCGGGAACCTCGCCGCAGGCCAAGGAAACCCAGAGGGACGACCACCCGTGCCCCGCCGCCACAACGGAGCCTCCAGCAAACCCACTGCAGAGCAGTGGGGCCGGAGCCCCGCAAGCACAGCGGTGAGCGGCAAAACCACGGACGACTGACCCCCGGAGGATCCACGACCCCAGCGCAGCAGAGCCCCCAGGGGCAAAAAGTCAAATAAGCATAAACACAACCAAGTATATCTATTGCAGGGCTACCCGGCAGACCAAGGGGACAACCACGCGCCGACCGCCCCCGGCCAACCACCCCCCCAGGAATCCGGGAACGTCGCAGGAGCGACGCGCCGGACCCCAGGAGGAGGAGAGCCGGAGCCGACCGGCGCCCGGCCGCCCCAAGAACGGCAGAAAGACCCCGACCGGGCGCAAGAATAGAACACATTGAAAACGCAGAACGCAATATAAATCAGAAAACGCCGTAACAACATCGCGAAAAACGCAGTCCATTATCCGGGATCAAAGGCAATTTGTTGCTGCCTCTGCCGTTCGTCCTCTTTCTTACGCTGAAGGACGCGCTCAGCGAAGATCGAGAACGCGTTCCAGCGCTCCTTAGAAGTGCAGATCTTGGCAACGATGTTCTCAAGGGAGAGATTTTGTCCAACAGCAGCGGTGAGTTCCCCGCGTTCCAATGCCCAAAAATGACACACCGCTAACGTGTGTTCGGGAGTGTCCTCTTCTGTATCGCAGTAGCGACACATCGGAGTGTCCTCTTTATTGATTCTAAACAGATATGTGCCGAAGCACCCGTGACCGGTCAGGAACTGAGTCAATCTAAATGTTAGGAAACCAGACCTACGGTCCAGCCAGTCTTCAATGTTGGGACCTATTGCTTCCCTCATTCTTTTCCCCGGCAAATCCGCGCGCGTGACATGGTCCCGCCACAGTCCCCGTAGCACGTTCCTCCAAGCGAACTGCGGCAGCTGAGACATCATTAAAGTCTCCATTTTTCTTCATATCACGGTGCCAAAAATACGTGCGCCTCAGGAATTCCGCGTATAGGTGTAGAGGCGGAACGCGAGCCAGAAGAGTGGCCGCCTCATATGAGACAGTGCGATATACCATAATTGTCCTCAATGCGGAAAGTCAAAGTGCACGGCGCATTTGCCTCTGTTTGTTTTCCGAGGCCATAAATTCCTCGCTCCAAACGGGGGCGGCGTACAAGGCAATGGAGGTAACCACGGAATAGTACAGGCGACGTTTATTTTCAACGGGCCCTCTCAGGTTCGGAAGAATTGCGCACAAAGCGCAATTAACTCTGGATATCTTAGATACGACATATTGGACATGAGTATTAAAGGCCCATTTTTTGTCAATATAAACACCGAGGTATTTCAAAAAATACGGCCTCCGTCTTAGACCAAGACACCGACAGGTCAAGATCACGGATATTTATCATTAGTCTGTCAAGGCACTCCGACGCGAGAGCGCAGTTCGAGTCAAAATCATTCTCGGCGACAAGAAGAAGAGTATCGTCAGCGTAGCAAACCACGTGAGAGTCTCCGGGGAGCATGGTGCGCAGTACCTGATCAAAACCAAGGTTCCAAAGTGGGGGGCCCAACACCGATCTTTGCGGGACCCCCCTATTAACGCACCTAGTACAACGAGTGCCGTCAGACAAGACAGATCGAATCTTCCTACTTCTCAAGTAGTCCTCAAGGATACGTCTAAGATATCGTGGAATGCGTTTGTTTCTGAGAGCGGATCTAATATTCGAATGTCAATCGAATTAAACGCGTTTTTTATATCCAAGGATAAAGCTAGCACCACTTTACCGTCCGCACGGGCCTCGGTGATAATATTCTTCACGAAGAAGAGGGCGTCGGTAGTCGAACGCGATTTACGAAATCCGAATTGATTAGGAGACAAATCATATCTGGGGTTTTCTTCCAGGTAAGTGGCCAGACGATTAGCGATCACACGCTCGAAGACCTTACCAGTCTCATTAAGGAGGCATATGGGTCGTGCCTTAGGTACTTCGCCAGGTGGTGGGGCATCTCCCTTAGGGATCAGCACCAGATCCGCAAGTTTCCAGCTCGGTGGAAAAATTCCAGTTTGCATGTAAATGTTGAAGCTTGATGTTAAGCAGTGTATCATGCAAGGCGGTAACTTCTTCAAGGCGGTCGCTTTAAAGCCGCCAGGCGCCGTGCTGCTAGACTTTTTAGCGGCTATCGCTTCACTAACCTCTTCAGAGGTAATGGGAGTTCTCCCCTCCTCGCAATCGCCCAAGTCCACCCGGGACAATTCCCGACCAGGCGGGAACAAGTCATCCAACAGACGATTCAAAATTTCCGGCTCAAGAGTAGTGCTGAGCCCCGGAGTGGGTTTTCGCAGCTTGCTCAATACCAGTTTATAGGGGAGACCCCAGGGATCCTCGTTTAAAGTAACCAGCAATTCCTGCCAGGCAGTGGACTTGGCATTCCGGATTTCATATTTTAGATTATGGCTTGCAGAGATGTAAGCGACTCTCTTAGCTTCCAACACCTACGGCAAATCTTTACCTCTGCCACGAGTCCAGCTTCTTCTCGCAGCAATAGCTGCGATTCTCAGTTGTGCGATCTGTCCGTTCCACCAATAAGCCCTGTCCGACCTAGGAGCGCGTAAGCGGGGAACTGCCGCTTGACATGCATCGTATATACAGTCATGTATCCAGCGATCCGGTTTTACGCCAATCAAATAATCCGGGTCACCAGGGGTCACCGCGCACCTCCACTCAATGGCCTCCTGGTACAGTCCGATATCCATATTTCTAAAATTCCACCGACGGAGAGACAACAGCGGCGATGGACGTTGGGTTGATGAAGCCATAATTTTAAAAGATATATAGAAGTGATCAGACATGGACTCCATGTCGCCACAAACGGTCCAGTCTCGAATTCTACCGAATAGATCTGGAGAGGCCCAGGTTAAGTCGATTATAGAAGTCCCCTGATGACTCGAAAAGGTAAGGTGATTACCCTGATTTAAAAGACGCCAATCGAGCTGAGAAGCCAGCTCCTCGAGTGCCTCTCCCTTGACGCTGGTAGTATTTGATCCCCATGAATGCGCGTGGGCATTAAAATCCCCGCATATAACTATCCTATTATTATGTGCAACGCTAGAACAGATATTAGAGAGTTCTTCCAAAAAGTCCGAGTAGCCAGGAAGATCAATGTTAGGAGAGATGTAACACGACAGAATGTGTATTTCGTCCAGTCTCACCAAGACGGAGTGCCTACCACGGGCTTCCAACACGGCAGGGTATGTCGTAACCCTAGAGTTAATGTAAACAGCCGCGAGGTGATCATGGCTGTGAAACCACACTTGATAGGGACTGTGCGTTCGGGCAGGTTCCGAGACTGCGCAAACAGCAGCCCCCATCTCCCTCGAATGATGCACAAGGAGGTCCTGAGCCTCCTTGTTTCCATTAAGATTCACCTGGAGACACAGGGTCATCTATGTGTTATTTCTCGACCACTAGCAGTCACGTCCCTCCGTTGTTTACGTGTTGACTCTATGCTGACACATCCGTTTAATGAGCCCAGCCGATGATCACTGGGTCTTTCAGCGCCCGTGCAAATGACGCAGCAAGGGTCCGCCCCGCAGGTGCAAATCTGATGTCCACGCTCACCACACCTGAAACAGGCGCCGGTCTGGTCCTCTGGGAAGTTGCACGTAGTGCGAACGTGCCCGAAGCGCCAACATTTGAAACATTAAACGAGACAGCTTTCGAGACACCATCCACGCCAGGGATTTCAATGATGACCCCACCGTTGATACCACGCCTAATCTTGGATCCCTCAATGCCGAGAGTATCAAGATTGATACTGTCCCGCGCCTTCTTTAGTATATCGACATAACTAATATCCTCCTTCAGGCTCGTAATTGAGTCCGCTGCAGTTTTCGGAGGTCTGCGCAGACGGGCATTTGAACGAGATCCACCGCCAGTGACTTCAGGCCTGTCGTTCCGAACAATCGGTGTACGTCGATTCTGTCTGGTATCCACGGGAGATGGTGTAGGAACCGGCGGGCCAAAGGTTTCCCCGTCAGAAATGCCCGACGTCTCAGTGGTGTCGTTTTTAAAGAAAGTCCTTTTATTCCTCTTCTTGAATCTGTTAATTGAACTGTTCGAAGGGTCCTTGGGTTGATTACCGAATTTAGAACGCAGTTCTTCCATATTAGCGACCAGTTGAGCTATCTGTCTGTTCATCTGTTCAAACATGCGAGTAGGACCCACATCTTCCTCCGAGTGCACCACTCGATCAGACTTTTTATTCGTATTAGGAGAAGTTTTCTTCCTAATTTTTAAGGTTGGAGTAGGGACTTCAGTTACATCCGTTTCAGATCCAGACACATTTACGGGATATTTCCGGATTTTTATGATCTTATCCAGCAATATCTCGCTTGAAGTGAATTCTGGGTTCCCTTTGTGAGAGAGGAGGGTAATCTTCCAAGCGTTTAAAACAACCTGTCTTCAAAGCGCGGATTTAGCTCGCGGCTGGCCTGGGTTCGAAGGAGGTGCGGAGAAGCAAACGGGTAACGAGGTTAGCAAAATAAAGGCGTGTCTCGGTTAACAGAAAATAGTTTATTCTATAACAATGACAATATATGCTCGCGACATTTACTACGGGTTAATGCGTGTGTACCGCGCTAGCGGGATTCGCTCGCGTATGCCCGCGCGGTTTCCGACGGTTGGGCGTGCGTGTGAGGCGACGTTGGTTTGGTCGCGGGCGGCGCGGGGCAACCCGCGGTATGTGCGGGGCGGAGCCGTTGCTTCGATATTCGCGTGGATCGAATCGCGTGGTGGTAGGTATCGGCACGGGCGGCGCCGGTTTCCCGGTCGGCTCGGTCCGGAGCGCGGAAAAATGGCGCGAAGCGCGGCGGCGATATGGATCGCGAAGCGTGGAAGCGGGTCGTCGGCCGAGACACACTCGGCGAGGGCAGAGAATGCCGGAGGCGCTCTACCGTCTTGACCGGACAGGCTCCGGATGATTTGGATAAAGAGAAGCTGGTCCTTCGCCGAGACGCACTCGGTGAAGACAGAGAATGCCGGAGGCGCTCTACCTTCGTATCCGGACGGCCTTGGGTGATTCAGATAGGTGCGGAAAGCTGGTCGTTAGCCGAGACACACTCGGCGAAGACAGAGAATGCCGGAGGCGCTCTACCTTACGTTCGGACTGGCTTAGTGCGGGAATTCAGGATCGGTGTTGTCGGGAAGACGGATGATCGGGAATCGCGCTCTGTGCCAGCGACGCCGGGCTTATATACGCGTCGCGGCGGCGTCGCGGCGTGGTGGGGGTAGCGACGGCGATCGCGAGCGCCGAGCCGGTGCGGCGGAACGATCGGGGATCGCGGCGCCCCGACGCCGTGATCGCGTTCGGCGGTCTTCGGCCGCCTTCGGCACCGCTCGGCGCGGTAAAACGGTTGCCGCGTTAAGTCCATTCGCGGACTTCCTAACATGTGAGAACGATTAAAATACGCTGGGCACACCGTGCCCGTTCTTCACCCCCGCGGGTCTCGGCGTGGTGTTCCTGCCGGAACGATGCATGTTTGGGGGTGCATCGTTACACGTTTTATTCCATCTCCTATATCAAGCTTCTGGATATCTACTTCCTGAGACGGTCTATTTTCACTTAAAGATATCTTCGAAGAGAGACCTGAACGCTTTGAAGCACTCTTCAGACTTCTAATTTCCTCGCGAAGCACTTCACGAAGTTCCTCATTTTCTTTTTGTAGTTCAGATTGCTCCTTCTTCTGAATTTCCTGATCACGCGTAATCTTTCGTAGTTGGGCCGTGAGATTCTTGTTTTGTAATTCCAGGTTTACGATATCCCCGGTAGCATTCAAGCGTTTGCAGTATATATCAATTATCTCCAAAATATTGGTTATACCGTTTCAGATAACCAGTGAAATTACCCTTTATATTCTTTTATATTCAGCGGCATAATTTGTAAGTTGCTCAGTATTA